CCCCCAATTAAAAGGGGCTAGTTTCGCCCCTGAATCCAGGGCAAGGGCGTATCGTTTTTTTAAGATCGCCGGTAAAGTTTGAAAATGATCGGTAAATTGATACAATCGTCGTTAAATGGACATATACTGACTGGAACGTTCGGTAAAATTATGAACGACATGTTCGCACTCGCTAAATTTTTAAGACGCAGTTGTCACTACATGGTTCTAAAACATCCCCCCCCCCCGCTCGCCAGGATTTTAGGGGAAAAAGTTTTCGCCGGTAAGTTTAGGGAAATACCCCCCCCCCCGAGCGTAATGGTCTCGGTACGCCCCTGATCCAGGGACATTGCGAATGGGTCTAGGTAGGGGGGGGGGGGAGGGGCATCGTATTTGCCGACAACAGTTCAAACTTTGCCGACATCATTTCAACCACAAATTACTTTTTACCGGGGGGGAGTTACATTTTTCCGGACATTTTCTTTGTCATTTTCTTTACGGCGTTAATGGTTTAATTTTTCCTTAATCTTTTCGTAAATTTCTCCAAATTTTAGTGTCATTCCAATATTTTGGTTCTTTTCCTCCATATCCAATTCATGTTTTTCGTCAATTCATGCGTTTGACGTCAGTAGATGGAAATGGGAAGAAGTTATTTCGCTGGCCTCAGAGTGACAAAACGTAACAAAGCAACGGTTTTACTAACACTAACCCTATTCCAAACACCAACTCTAACCCTAATCCCAACCCTAACCCTACTCCAAGTTTGTTTCTAAACCAATCTTGAAGAAAAAAGTTTTGACGAAATGTCATTCCTCAGTCAGCGAAATAGTGTAACCTGCATGCCCGTGACGTATTGAGGCGTCCTTTTACTTCCGCGAATGACTTCCGCCAGACATTATTTTCTCACTTGTTTAATGGATTTTCCTTAGCGGAATTCTCACTTCAAATTTTATACAAGCTATGTTTGGAATACTGGATTGAGAGATGTAAATAGCAGCGACATTTTAAGAGAAAGATGTCTTAAACCAAGCCACCAATATGCCATATTTCGAGAGTGGCGACGATCGTGAACTGAAAGTTGATTTAATGTTGAAACGTTCTCAAGGGAAAAAGAAGATTTTGACAGCTATCAATTACAAGGAACGTGTGTTTGTATTAACTCCCAAACAACTACATTATTATGAAGGCACTACAGAGGTAAACAGTTTTGTTTTATTGCTTGCATTTTGATATACTAATATTATATAATTTTTTAAATGATTTATTTACATCATTACATGTAAACACTTGTTGATACGGGAATGTACTAACATGCATGGCTAATTGTTATTGAAAACAATATTAAAGAAGGTCTATACTCAGATCAAAGGTTTCCTTTCATGTTCTAGTCCTGTTCTTGAGTATGTTGGGATGGATATAAAAACAACATATGACAATTTTGTGAAATTTATCAAACTTAAATTGCTGCATTTGGGATTGGAATTTGAGTAATTTAATATATATATACAGTATATATAGTCATTAGTGTAAATACACAGGTATAATAAATACTAATCACCATGTAATTACAAACAAGAGTAATTAAGGTATTTTTACACCATGCAATTTGTTGGTGAAATTTCAGGCTTTGCTATTAAATGTTTAGTATTTCCAGTTTTAATGACTTCCTCAGGTCAGATTCTACTTTCTATACTGGGTAAATAATCGAAAACCGTCAAAAGGTCGGCATGTCTCGGCATTTTTAAAAATCTGTTTCCATGTTTTGGAACACTAGTAATCACATATTAGCGAATCATTGAAATCGGAAAATAAAGCATGCCTTTTTCCATGGAAACGCGAACTACAATAACACTACAGCTTTTCTAAACCATCGTGTTACCTAAATTATTATAGAATACCTATCAATTTTTAAACCTCACACCAAAGTGTGTTTAGTTTATCGAACTACAAATTAAATTCTATAATCGCTGACTTTTTAACAGCTATCAGCAGCACCAAAATTCTTACTTTGGCTGAATTAACGTTGGCAAAAATTTGCCGACCTGGGAGGTTGATTAGGTCGTTAGGTCGGCATTGCCGAATGCTGACCTCGTTTTTGAGGGCTGGTTTGTAGTAATATAACTCTGCAAAAGGTGTGAATTGCAATTCAGGACCACTGAGTGACACTGGTCTTCTTTTGACGAGTAAAATCATCTGGTATTAGACAGGGTAAGATTTGTATTGCTAATTAAAGGGTTAATATACATGTACAACAGTTGTCAGCACAAGTATCAAAGCATTAATTACTAAAAGAAACACAAATGTGTAATGATATTTGCCATTCCACCCTGCATTTATCTATTAATGTCATCAAACCACATGACCACAAATAACCAGTGAGTGTACTTTCCTATACAGAAAGTGTAGCTTGGGTATTTGTACTTGCAGTTTGATTTTGTGTTAATTAACATGTGATTATTTTATTATGTGAACCTAAGTTTTGAGGGTTTTGAGGAAACCATAGGAAGCAGAGTACGTATTAGCAGCTCACATGAATTTGCGAAGTATTTCTCACGTTTTGCAAAGTAAAATTCATATGAAAATGGAAAAATGTGAAGCAAGTTTTAAAAATTCTATAATAAGCTCTTCTGTCTTACAATTAATTTATTTTCAAGTTGAACAAGTTAAACTAAGTTTCATTTTGTAATTTCAAAATATTCACAAAATTTGCAATGAACATGTCTTTGCATGCAGGCCACAGCTGTGGACTGGCTAAAAACGTCTGAATTCTTAAACTGAGATTTGGATATTTTGATCTATTTAATAAATGAGTTATACTAAAACAATTATATGCTGATTCAGTGATTATCAGTGAATATACACATCAACTTTGTCTCAAATATTGATCGATAATCACTTTGCCTTTGGTGAACAATTCTTTATTATTCTGGTTACAAAGTCTTCACATTCTTTCTTGGAACCAAGGCATTAATAACCCATTGGGGACCAGCACTCTTGTTGATAGCTGATGTGTAATAATTAGATTAATTTTAAATTAATAATTCTGATATCCCTAACAAAAAAGTCTATATGCCTGGCCTGTGCCAACCTATAGGTTTCTATAGGAAACCTATAGAAAATATTGGTCGGGAAGCAGGATTTTATTCCATCGTGGGAAGTGGGATTAATAAAAATGCCATTGATGGCGATATGCGGGAAAGTAATCCACAGGATTAGCGGGATAAATCTTTGCTCGAAATTTACTGTTTTCAAGGATGATATTGAACATTAAATGTTTCCCATCAAGCTCCCATTTGCATGTACAGTATGATCGCGGCTTTCATACGAGTCGCGATGTAGAGTCATTTATTATTTTAAACTTTGTTGTATTGTATTCTAGATAGTGTTATAACTATTCAAATTGTATTCTATGTCGTTACCATATCTTTGATTACCTGGTTATCTGTTGTCTACATCTAAATCATAATACGTTGAACAGTGTTCGAAAAAAGTCGGGAGCTGGAAATTGGGATGAGGCATGCCGGAATAACAGGATTTGAAGTGAAAATCGGTCGGGATGGCGGGATTTCGGAACCTGATACAGGCCCCTCTTTATAGGCAATTGGAACATTTTTTATAGATTAAGATTATCATGACCTGTCCTACAATATGGGGATGCCTTAAAGCCTATAGAGCTCTATAGGTGCTTACCACTCCACCCTACCTAAGACTGTCTCAAAACGCTTTGTTGGATAAGCATTCTTAACTACCACTGACAGTAATGTGCATTGATAGTTTTAAATCAATTAAATTCTTACTTGTTTATAACTATACTGTACAGTATATAGGTTTCCCAGTAATGGGACACTGATCTGATTATACACAGAATTGACTACTTCAAAGAGTCTGTTTATCTTTTGAAATTCAATGGTTGACCATGCATGTCAAACGCTTTTTAGAGAAGAACCCCATTAATTAGATGTGCAATGTGTCTTCAAATGAAAAACAAATCCAGAAGTATAGAATTTATTGTCATATACATGTACTGTAGTACTGTACCAAGCTCATTTTTGGCATGACTGTTTTTAGGGACCATTCATTATTTATGACCAGGGGTGGGCTGGCAAAATTCAATTAACAACTATAAAACAAAAATGTCCTGCCCCACCCCCTGCATTACAAAAAAATTCAGTGACCCCCTTCACACGAATTCTAAAAAATAGTAACCCCCCACCACCACCACCCACCGACAATATAATAAATGTACAGTACTGTATAGAAATGAGCTCTTTAATTAAACTTGTTGTAAAAGGCATCAGTGAGATCTTTCTTTTACTTGTGCTTTCAACAATTAATATGCATGCCTATTTAACCCATTAAGCTGCAGAGTTTCCTGTTGATGAGTGAAATTGTCTGGTGTTAAACAAGTAAAAACGAGTGAAAAAAAGACATAGTGAAAAAACGACATACGTTTTGTAAGAATGATATGTTCTATGTTCATGGAAAATTTAGAAGAAACAGGATGAAAATTAAAGAAGTTGAAGCATATTGGCGTTTTTGGATGCATTTTTGACTTACATGTAGGGTTAGGATTACAGTGCCGTAGGAAGCTCTTTTGGATTGGAAAGCTGAAAGCGAGGGCCAAAGGCCCGAGGAATTTTTAAATTTAGAGTCTCTGAAATGCCATTTCCTGGACTTTGGGGAAGATTTGACAGAATCCTGATGATCAGAAAACAGCATTTTAGTATGTCAAAATTTACAATTTAGTAGCACTACTGTAAATGGGCGATTAGGCGTATTTAATTAACTATATATTGGATAAGTTGCAGGAAAGTATGAGAAATATCTTCATTCTTTGCATGTTTGTCATGGATAATGTACTGTAGCTGCTTAAAATTAATCAATTGTCATGAGTATTTTAAAGGTATATTACCTGTATTTAAATGATAAAGGTCTGCATGATTTTGGAAAAAGAACATTATTACCAAATTATTGGGGGGGGGGGGCTGCTACATCGCTTACTCGTTAATTATCTTTTTTATTAAAATGTACATAATTGAAATATGACAAAAATTTATGGCAAGTTCATGGCAAAAGTTATAAGGTAGATGTTCGATTATTTTTCATATTAGCTGCGCGCATTGCATTTTGGGTCTATCTGTTGAAATTGAGAATTTTGCTAGCTATACATGAATTATATTTCCTGCCTTGCTCGCTCGCTCCCTCCCTCCCTGTGGTAGCAATAATCGTTACATGTCAAATTTTTCTCCACTATAATATCACTATATAAATAACTGGACCCCCCCTTCTGAACTAATATTTTTAGGTGGCCCCCCTTTTTTCGGTCAAAAATACCTCATGACCCACCCCTTTTTTTGCCAGCCCACCCCCAGTCATAAATGATGAATGGTCCCTTACTTTGAGAAATTTCTTTTGTGTTTAGAAACGTGGCAAAATAAAAGGTACAGTTGAACTTATCAAAGTGAAAGCAGTTGAAGCTGTTGATGTCCAGGCATTTGATAAACCACATTGTTTTCAGGTACCTATGATATTCATTACGATATTCATTAACATGTTAATTTTCTCTACAGTTTAAACATAGTGAGTGTGAGTGTTTTGGCATGTTGACAGAAAATCTCAAAAAATGGATTATATAGAGAATAATACATGGGTGCGCGGAAATACCAGATTTATTTCGAGTGTTGAACATGATATCTCACGAGTGAGCGCAGCGAACGAGTGAGATATCATGTTCAACACGAGAAATAAATCTGGTATTTCCGCGCACCCATGTATTTTTCTGTTTATTATATAAAGGACAGTCTTTGAAAAGAGATAATTTTTACGGAAAAGCGATAATTTAAAAGCGATAATTTTCACATGTGAGATTATCATGAATAATCTCACATGTGAGATTATCACTTTTATCAGTGCTCGAAATCTCTTTCAAACACTCATTAATAATGCATAAGCTTATTGGCAAATCATGTCAACCATAATATGTCATGTGCAGTGGCTTTAAACCTGATAAAACACTCCTAATTTGTATTCTTTATATAAAGAATACTAATAAGGCAGTATCTATTGTTGTCGTGTTCTCATTAGTATTTTTTATATAAAGAATACTAATAAGGCAGTATATCTATTGAATTTGTAGTCGTGTTTGAAGCCGTTTAATAAACTCGCAGGTCGTGTTTTATTAGGTCTAAAGCCACTCGCGCTGCGCGCTCGTGTCTTTAAACCTAATAAAACACTCCTGCTCGTTTATTAAACAGTACATAAAGCACTATACTTTATATAATAAAAAGAAATAATTATGGGAAAATGTTAAAAAAACATGCATGAATTGTATTAACAAGCTGGTCAGTGTATGGCTGTGTCTTGTATGGGGAATCATTATGGTAAAACTTGATGGATGCACATACAGTATTAGATATTATATAATACCTTATTAAATTCTGATCGTTTAATTGGCTGTTTATGGTCACGTGATATTGAATAGAAAATTCCATTTCCCAAGAGTGCAATGGAACACGTTCCATTGCACTCTCCGCGAGTGCAATGGAATAAAACGTATAGTACAATTGCACTCTTTGTGTTTTCGATAAATCGCATCCCTCAAAATGCTTCTCATACGAATCTATTAGTCTATTTTGGTATTATATAAAACAAATAATGAATGTTTCTTCGTGCAATGGCAAGAATATTTTCATTCGGTGAAAGATGGAATGTTCCATTCAACTCGGCTGTCGCCTCGTTGAATGGAACATTCCATCTTTCACCTCATGAAAATATTCTTACCATTGCACTCATAAACATTCATTATTTGTATAATATATAGCTTTTTGCTTTTTATTGGCTCCTTTCAAAACAATAAAATTGGTTCCTTCAGGGCCGTCACTAGGGGTATGTGCGGTGTGACACCTCCCTGAAAACACTTCACCCCTCGACCCAGATTTTGGATAATTTGTCAGCAAAATTTTAATTTTTGTCGGCAAATAAAATTACACCCCACCCCCCTGCTTAACCCTTTTTCAGGACGGCCCTGGCTTCGTTCTTTAGAGAACTTTCGTCCAATTGGAGGTTTTCTGAACAGTTGCGCATCGACTTGCTTATATTGGAACATAACTGTTTTTATCTTCATACCTTCACGCCAAGTACTGAATGTCTCCTCCATGTATAGGTGGTATATCATGAGTACATTCTGTACATTATTGCAAATAATGAAGCACAGAAGTCTGATTGGATTGAAGCAATTCAAGAAGGTAATTGAAATTAATGTGTACCGTAGTTTAATTTTGTAATATAGTTTTGTAATATGAATATGCAACAGGACATACAACTATCAACATTTTACATTTAGCTTATCCGCTTTCCTTCAATGCGATACTGTAGGTTCTTTGGCTTTTTTCTGAAAATGGCGCGTATGTAATCTCGAACAAGAAATGCGGTGAGAATAACTTGTGGGTGTCCTAAACACGTTGAGATCCATGCTTCTTTTTCTCGTAACTTCAAGGCTGCACGATGGATGCCAGGGAAAAAAGCCACTGAAATTACTCCCCACAAAATATCTGAGAGTGAACTAACATTGCCGCTGTTATTTTCAGTATTGTTTTGTACAAAGAAAATATACAGTAGTTATGGTTAATGATTGATTTATTATAATATAATGTAGAATGTCGAAAGAACAAGTTTTTGCTGTCGTATTTTCATTCTGGAGCTTACATGAACAATCAATGGACGTGTTGTAGTAAGTCTGAAAAGCAAGGTTCTGGATGTCAAGAGACGTTCATTTCATTGGAAAAGAAAGGTAAGGATTTTGAGAAAAAAGTGGAAAATTTGATCGAACAAACCAAGCTAATAATCAATAGGAACATTGCGGAACAAAACTTCACAATCACCTGACAGATAAGCATTATATTGAATATATTCTTCTCAAAATCTGTGTTTCTACTTTTCTGTCCAGGTCTACCAGTTCTATAAAATGCCGGTGATTTTCAGGTCACTATTACAGTTGTATTTAGTACATGTACAGTACCTTTTTAGAGTTTAATTTAGTATTAATGTTGTAATAAAAATTTCTTATGAAGGAACATATATTAATTTTATATATGTTGTTTATTTCGTAAATTTCATAATACTTGAGGATCTTATACTATTCTAAATCCAAGGTGATTCCCATTATCCTCAATATTTTCTCATTCAGTTAAGGATCCTGCATGAATCTTTAAGGAGGATTATCACCAGGGTTTTTGTATTTCTAGGAACTGATTTCTCAGATAAACCACTTCCACCTTTACCAGGAAATACTGCAAGTGAGGTAAGAATGATTATCATTTTGGATTTTTCCAAGGCTCTCAATCGCTCGTACAATAATTAGCAGCGACCCCATCAGCTTACTGTATGCTGTAAATACCTATCGTGTTAAAATAAATGCTATAATAATAATGATATGAAGAATTATCAAGCCCGAATGCTCACTCACTGGTTGATAACACAAATTGACGGCTGGATAATAACGGCTTATTGACCGAGCGTGAGGTCTATACTGTGAAATATCAGACCGAGGTTTTTTAGTATGGACCGAGCGACGAAGGAGGGAGGTCCATGCAAAAAACAGAGGTCTGATATTTCACAGTATAGACCTCACGCTCGGTCAATAAGCCGTTATTATCCAGCCGTCAATTTGTGTTATCAACCAGTGAGTGAGCCTTCGGGCTTGATAATTCTTCATATCATTATTATTATAGCATTTATTTTAACACGATAGGTATTTACAGCATACAGTAAGCTGATGGGGTCGTTGCTAATTATTGTACGAGCGAACAAGCGAGGTCAATAATCGGTTTATTATATGGCTGAACTGAGTCTGTGAGGATATGCTTTTCGCGCGAATTAAATCGGCTATCGTCAGTTGCAATGGGTAACAATATACGGTAGGCATGCATGCTCAATCAAAAACAGTTTGGTTGTTTGAAATTTTTATCTGTAAAGCACAGTTGGAAATCTAAAAAGCAAAAATTTTTTCTGTTTGCAAAGCAAAAATTTCCCGCCAGATAAACGACATCCGGGACACCGGTCCAGATACGGAAAATACGGACCACGGTCCGGATATGGGTTTTTACGGACCGCTTGTCAACCAATCAGAATAGAGAATTTTGAAAAGCCATATAATAATAAGTGTTAATTGCCGGCCAGTCATCCTGTATTTTTTCAACTCTCTTAAAAGTTAAACAATGTTGGAAAAGAACAGATAATTCCATTGAAAGATGTTATCAGTTTGTAATTTGTATATTTTTTGTATACAAGATCTTGGTTTGCACATTGAATATTACCCCTCTCTATATTTCTAGGGACCAAATGTTGTGGCTTTGTATAGTTTTAGAGGACAAGAAACTGACGATCTCAGTTTTGAAAAGGTGTGTGCTATGCATTCATTATACTGTCTGTATATGATTGTATTGTATTATTATTTAAATTTATATAGTTTATTTAAATTATGATATAACATTTGGGATCTATAATCTTCATATTATATTAATAATTAAAATTATGTTTGTGAAACGCATGACTGGAAGACAACGCCTTGAATAACGGTCTGACATTTCCGTCCATACATTTCCGTGCCAATGTTCAATTGATTGGAAGTTTTGTCTGGACAAAACAGAGCAATCAGTTTTTGCAAAGACCAAGCAGAAACAATTAAAGACTGGTCCTGAGCATGCCCCAGGGAATGTGAGATTACACTGTTACAGTACCAAACACTTCATAACACATCTTAATTAACCACTGCTATAATAATATTTAATTTCCATCACACTGGGGGAAGTTGACAGTGAAGTAATCACAATTGTTGTAAAGATAAATAGGCCAAGTAAGTAACATAAGTAAGCGTAATACTTGACGTAATCGGTCACTGAAAAGCCCCAATAGGGAGTGAGCTGAATAATAATGCTATGAAATGTAGTGAATACTGGTACATAGGACACTTAATTAATTAATACCGAATGATTAATCTAATAAACTAATTAATAGATCGTTTTTCCTAGCGATTTAAAGCTGCTATTAATTCTTGAAGATTTCCTAATTTATCATCATTACAACTTGAAAAGTACAATAATATTCATCACCTACAGTACGTCATTTGATTTACAAATAGGACATACACGTAAATTATAGGAGATATTCGTGTGTCCTTCAACTGGAAACCTCCTTTAGAGAATTAACCAACGGAGGCCGAGAGTTATGAAAGAAAATGAAAAAAATAGGTGCGACGTGCGTACATATGGTTAGACATTCGCTCATTTGGTAATTACGGCAAAATTGACTTTAGCAAGAGCATTATTCGTAACTTGTTCGGGACAATGTATTTATATACTGTATGTAATACATTTTGAAAATCCGGACTCACAACACGTTTTTAGTAATTTAAGTAGAGTATGTGTCCAGCCCGCCCACATGTGGGCTGACCACATCAATTTATGCAGTATAGTAACCAAATTTGAAAATTTCCGATCAAATTTAGAACTAGTCGGAATTTTTTCCGAATAATTTTTTAACGATCTGCTCATCCATCAGTTCCATTACCTTTGTTTACCAGGGAGATGAATTTACAATTCTTAAAAGTGAAGGAGAACACTGGTGTCTTGCCAAGGATAAATATGGGTAAGAATTAGAGCTGTGCGGTTCCAAAAGTTTCATCTCGGTTCCAGCTTTTTTGGAACAAAAAAACCTCGTTCGGTTCGGTTTCGGTTATTTTCAAAAAAGAAGAATGTTCAGTACAAATGTATGAACTCATTTATGTATGTTTCGAGCATTTTTACTAAATAGATGAATTTATGCCTTTGTAAGTTTGTATAAATCTCTGAATATTTTAAAAGAACAATTGGAATTTATTTATGAAGGTGTAATATTTCTTAGTTTTTAAAAAAATTTAAAGCAAGTTCACAAAAATAACTATCACAGCTAAAATATCAACTATTTGAGCACTTAGTACAGTGCATATTGTGCACAAAGAGCACAATCTTGTTATTTTCCAAACATTTCAACCTGCAATCAGGTGGGCGTTAAACGGGAAATTAAAACCGAAACTACCGGTTTTTTGCGTATAGTTTTTCGGTGCTGAAAAAAGTACCGGAAGAACCGAATTTTTCGGTTAACCGCACATCTCTAGTAAGAATTGAAATTGCTTTCTCTCCTCATCGCGTGTGCACACTGCACAGTGCATTTTACGAACTAATATATTTGTATTAATATTTGTAATAACTGTATACTTTACATGTGTTTTAAAGGACCTGTTTGCAACGATAAATTCAAATCATTTGTTATAAAAATAGCTCAGACTTGAACTAGGTGTTCAAACCTTATAGGGGACCTCATGTCCTATTGTTTGTTGGCCTAGTGTATTTATGCTATGCTATTGTTATTCATGTACGACAGTACTGCATAGTATATGTATCTACACTGAATTTTTAAAATAAAAATAATTAGTAAAATAAATACGCACAGCGTAAACTACTAAACACGAAGCAAAAATGAATATGTTTTGTTGTGATTGACTTGCGTAGTAAACAAATTTAAAGTGATCAGTGTTTGTGACTCGTTCTTTCGGAAATGTATTTTATAGTTTTATTTATGTTTAATGTTTAATGTTTAATATGAAAATTACACATTGAATAGCTACAATAAGTAGCTAAATTAGAACGCGCATTACATACATATAAAATAAATACATTAATTACTGTACTATCTAAATTAGGTATTACAAAAAGTTTCAATAGAGATTTATAGTTATATTATAAATGAGAGTTATCAAAAGTTCTACTGACGAAACAATTGGACTGTTCCGAAAACTATCTAATATACGTATTAAAAACGTTTCGATAAAAATATATAGTTATATTATATTATAAAATAGAGTTATTATAGAGTTCAATTGACGAAACATTTGGACTGTTCCGAAAACGTTCTGTTCTGTAGTGGTAATTGTAAAACAATTGATCATTCTGACGTGTATCCCTTTTCCGTACCTTGCAAAGTTTGTTAGGAAGAAGATGGTGCAGTTTGTATTGTGGGTCAGACATTTTACTAAAATATGATCAATGCACATAGTATGCGACGTTGTTCAAGCGTGTATGCATTCCAGCTTTCAATAATAACTTTTCGTTATCTTTTTCAGAATACATTATTCTCAATGTCCTTCTTTGGACTTTCTCAATACTGCTGCTCTGTGCTTTAGTAAGGCCCCCATGCCAGACTTGCGCTCCATATTCAAATATCGGCCTGATGGCAGAAATGTAAAACTGTTTCATATCAATCTTGTCAGCACCATATTTCTTTAAAATTTTTAATAAAAAGAGTCGCTTAACTGCTTTCCCTATTATATAATCAGTATTAGTTTGCCACAGACTTCAAATTATCGTCAATCCATAAGCCCAATAGTTTGAACGCGGAAACCCTTTCCAACGTTGTATCTTGAATGTTAGTGGTGGAATAACTGTCCTATTCAGACGAAAATTTAACTGCATTTCCTTACATTTTTTAAGGTTCAACTCCATTTTTTGAGACGTAGCAACATCCATAACTTTCATAATATTATTGGGCGTACTCCCAACTTGCGTGCCTGAGACATGATCACGGACGTTAATAACCTCCGACAGTGTTGCATCATCCATGAAAAGAGTTAGGTCATCATCACAATCATCATCATATATTGACATCATTGCTTGAATTAATCAAACTGCTCTCGGTGTCTTTGATCACTGCCTTCAGTCCATTAATATGAACGACGAACGCAATTGGACCAATACGACTACCTTGGGGAACTCCTCCATTAATCATACAGCTTGTAGAAAGTTCGTTACCAAACCTTGTCACTTGCATCCTCTTACTCAGATACGACCCCAACCAGCTAATAAGCCCAGGTCTGACTCTGATTTTACAACAGTTGTCTAATAGCACGTTGTGATCAATGAGATCAAATACCTTGCGAAAGTCCAAAAACACAATTCTTATTACTCGTTGTGATAAGTCCATTGCTTTATTCCATTTGTGTAGAAGGTGAACGAGCGCAAGGACTGCTGACGAGCGTGGGACACCACCATACTGTTCCTTACAAATTGTAGACTCAATATCGTCATACATCTAATCAACCACGTAAGACTCGTGTATTTTTGAAATTGTGCTAGTAAGAGCTATCGGTCTTATTTCATCCAGATTCGTGCACGGTTCCACTTTTGGTATAGGTGCTAGGTAGAACTCTTTCCACAGTTTTGGAAACACCTTCTGCACAATTGATGCATTAAAAATGTTTGCTAATGATGGGATGGCAAAAAAAGTGCGCAAACATTTTGATTATCTTGAGGTAGGGGTCGTTTGGACCGGGAGCTTTGTTAGACTGAATGGACAAAAGCTTTTTCGCAACGCTGTCAGGTGTAACAGTCTGAATGACCATAAGATGACCATCTGGATTGAATTTCTGGGAAATCATTCGTTAGATCTGCGAAAAACGTATTAATCATATTCGCAGCATCTTTATCTTTGAGTTTGGAGTCTGATCCCTGCTCACTGGGATTGATAGAAGATTTCTTCTTTCCCGTCAGTTTCCAGACCTTCTTCCACCACATTCGAGCATCCCCGTTAGTATTCTGCCTTCCAATGTTCATTACATAATAATGCCTCTTTGCCTTTCTAATTTCCGATGCTACTCTATTTCGCAGTTCCCTAAACTTATGCATTCTTCCTTGTTTGTATGCATTATCTCGCTTCCTTAGTAACCTTTTTATTGTTGTTATAAAAAATTTGTCATCAGAGTGCATTCGAACTGTTTTCTCCGGGAAATAGTAATTAATCATATCATTAGTAGCTCTGGTGAAATCCTCAACCTTCTCATCTACGTTCTCAGCATTTAGTACGGTTGACCAATCATATTGGGCAAGACAGGAACCAAATTGTTGCAGGTTATATCTTGGCGTTGGACGAAATATAATTTTCTTCACAATGTTTACGAAACGCTGCTGTATTTTCGCCATCCAAATAACCATATTATGATCTAAAGTAGACAGTGGTGCAATTACTTCTGGGGGGTTATAATGTGAGCTCATGTTAGTGAAAATAAGGTCTAAAATATTAGAGCTTCGTGTCGGATCCTTAACCACTTGCTTTAAATTAAAATCACAATAGTCAGAAAGACACTTCGTATCAAAACCGTTGCTGCAGGGATTAAAATCTCCAGCCACAATAAAACCTGTTTCTGGACTTTCACTCTTTCAAATGATACTTTGTCATAACACGAATAAAAATAGTCATAAAACTTTTCTAAGCTTACTCGATCAATTGAAGGAGGAAGGTATACACAAGCAACAGCAATCCTCGGAACTGTTCGTGGAAGCCACTTTGGACGCAGAGTTAGCCACTGACATTTAAAGCTCGGATCAGAGAGATCATTACGAGTTCTTATTGAAAACTCTTTACGAACATAGATTGCACAGCCCCCTCCAAGACCGATTTTCCTATCCTTACGTATCAATATAAATCCTGAAATGTTAACTACTTCACTAGGTATATTGTCAGATAGCCATGTCTCCGTAACAATGATGATTTCTATTTTGTGCTCATTTGAGTAATATTTTAATTCTTCAGTTTTCCCCATAATAGATCTCGAATTTACGACAAGCACATTGTTGCACATTGTTGCATAAATTACCTAGCGATTTTGCTCGATCCATTGGATTAGCCTCATTTATTACACTATATCATCTGCTTTGTCTATGTCTATTATGTTTCATTGTTTTAGTTAATCGATCATGAAAGATGTACTGTAGGTGGCACACAAACCCTTGTGAGTCCGAGGACCCATGACGTAACCAGTCACACAAACATGATTTGTGGTTTCAAAACAATCATACATATTGTAATGCTTATATAGATATAGTCATATAGAAATAAGTTTTTATATTACTTTAAAAAATTAATAATTCACGAGGAAAAGACAACAGAAATCACTGCCGTGTCGGTTTAGTTTGCCGTGAAGTTTAGCTTTGATTCTCTCGGCTTAGACAACGTTGATTTTTAAAATTACTTCGCCAATGAACTCGGTCGTTTTTTAGCCATTTTAAACAGTCGCAGTCCGTGCTTTATCAGATATAAGACACTCAACTATCGCCTCGTGTTTTATATCTGATAATTAAAGCACTCCTGCTCGTCTTTTAAATACTACGTAATGTAACGTATGTTATATAGTATACCTTGTACTTTTATAGGAGGACAGGTTATATTCCAGTAAATTATGTGCGTCAAAAAGGAGGCTTAGGAACCGAAGTGTAAGTTTTTAGCTTTTTTGCTTTAAATTATACACATGTATGCAGTATGTGTTGAGTTCACTCGTCAGAATATACGCGCTCTTGACATGCATAGTTTGTATTTGCAGTTGGTATTTTGGTGATATCATGAGGCATGTAGCTGAAGAGATGTTACTGAGGGAGGTAATTATTTTTAGAAAGCTGCGGATTGAAACGTATTCAACTACGTGAAAAAGACAAGCAAAAAAGCAAAACTCGACGTTTCGAGCGAAAGCTTGTGTTTTTCTGATAACGATCTGGTGTTATTATCACTACCTTCGCTGGCACAGAGTAATTTATTTCCCCTCCGCTATATCAAACATGACCGCACTGAATCCAGGGCCGCAACTACCCGGGTGTGTGGTTGAATGTAGTGTGTGGGTGAATGTAACACCCCACCGCCCCGCCCACCAAGAAGATTTGTTCATGCATGAGTAATTTCAGGTAAATTATAAGAGCAATGACAGGCGAACGTGCATGGAAGTTAAAAGTGAACGCAAGCTAAGAGTGCAAAATTTTAGTTGCTTTCCCGGGCTTTCTGAGGGTCCAAATATCCAAAATTTTCTCTGGGTAGCGTTTTCCCGAACCCCCTAGAAAATTTAGCCTCCTGTCAATTATATAAACAAGATAGTTGATGCGTATCTAATGCATTCAAGTCATAATTTTCATAAGCAAAAAACCGGAAAAAATGAGGGGAAAATGTTTGAAACTCACTAATATTGAAACAAAATGGCACCTTGTCAAAATCTTGGCGGCGCTAGTTCAACGTTTACTGACAACACCTCCAACTTTCAAACATTAAAACACACATTAAGGCAGTACTATTAATACAATTGTTTTCAAAACTATTGGAAGCGGGGGAGGTAAGGTAAATAATAGCTTTATTAGCATGACTATAAATTTACAGTGTTGCTAAAGCATATAAAATTTATAACAATATATAGAGAACTATGGTAAACTAGGATTATACAATTTACAAATTAGTATATGTGCAATGATACTTAATAGACTAACATAACATTAACGTTCATAAGAAGTAAGAAGAAAGAATGTAGACAAGTATGATATTTACAAATAAGGTGGTTATTACAACCTCTGCTAATTAGCACTCCTGGTTTCAAGGTATTTAAGCCTTTGTTCAAAACATGAATAAACAAATTTTGACAGTTTAGTTATGGTTTCACTATCAGTTGACTTCATTAAGTCAGCTGATAGAGTTTGAGAGTTCAGTTTAATCTCGTTAGATGAGGCATTCTCTAACGCTAATGCTCATAGGCTTTGCAAAAGAGTAGGAAATGGGTTTCGTTTTCCACCTCTCCTGAATTACAGATTTCACATAAGCGTTCTTCTCGGGGTATATTTTGGTATCGCCCAAATATATTATTATTATTATGTATTATTATTATGTTATTACCCTGTATTATTATTATTATTCTGTTATTACCCTGTACCGTCTCACCCTAGTTTTCACTTCAATAAATTTACTCCTTCGCTTGGCATCGTCTACTTTCCTCTTGCGGTTTGCCATCCAAAACAAAATGGCGGCCTGGTTGCATCAAGTGCGAATGGCTACTCATGTTAAAATACGTTCTGATCAGTACAAATTGGTTATAAATTGTTTCTCTTTCTTTCTTTCTTTTAAAAGGGAAAAGAAGGTACCTTCCTTGTTCGAAATAGCAGTAAAGATGGCTTGTACACATTGTCTCTTCTGTAAGTTTTGCTTTTGTATATTATTTGTATATTTCCTACTGTAATTGTATCCTTATCTTTGTTTTCTTTTTCATTTGTAGACATGGTGACAACGTGAAGCATTACCATATCAAACCGGATGAAAATCATTTTTATAAAATTTCAACGAGACACTGTTTTCCAACTATTCCCGAACTTATTGAATATCATAAATTGAACAGTGGAGGTTGGTCATTGGCGCCGAAAGGGTTCTATTTTAGGGAGGTTAACGTAGTTTTCAGCTAAGTTAGGTACCGTAGTTTTCGGTGCAAACACGACAGAAAATCATGATCGAACTGTCGCAGCAGTAGCGTAGGAAGATATTTATGGTTAGAAGCGTTAACATTTTTGAAATATTCAGGATCAGAAATGTCCTGCACTTTTTGGCACCGGATTGAGGAATTTGGACAACAAAAAATTCTGAAAAAAATGCTTCATAATTGGTTTTGTCTAGTTTGTATGACTTAGTTGGGGCTAAAATCGCCGGCAAATTAGCATAGTCGAACCACCTGATAAACTTTCAACCAATGAGAAATTAGAAAGAGAGTGCTGCTTTCTACTGTACATGTAATTGCTGTAGTTTGTCAGTTCGAGTGAATCGAGTCTTCCGTATTATAATGGTACTGTATCTCACTGTATCTTTACTGCTGTCTAAAATTTGAAATTTCCTTCATTCTGAATTATTTTAGACGATTAAGCGTGCCATGTAACGGTGTAACGATTACTCAGTGCGGTGTAACGGTGTAATCTCTTTTCGTCAAGTTGATTTCTAACTGAAGCTTTTATGTTTTTAGGACTTGTGACAAGACTACGACAACCTCCAGCTTCAGGCGCCACGCCTCCTACAGTTGGCTTAGGACACGGTAATTTAGCTTGACACTGGTTTATTGCGAATGTTACTAAGCTCAGGCTAATTTGAGAATGGCATGGAGCTCAGGCAAGATATCCATTTAGCACTGCAGCTGCTATCAAAAATTTCGTAAATTGAGGAAATGTATGGGCTTTCAACTTGTATATTGTGGGCAATTGTGTGCCCTCACCAAATTCCTAACCCATGCTGGTATTCCTAACCCATGCTGGTATTCGGCGGCGCAGTCATCAGAGCAAGCGCCATTCACCTCTGAGATCCTGGGTTCGAGTCTCGCTATGGACACATGTGTGGACTCATGTGAAAAGAGTCTGTCAACGCTCTGCCGAAAGTCGTGGGTTTTCTCCGGACGCTCTGGTTTCCTCCCACAGGGAAAGTTGACAGGGTGGGTTAGGATAAACATAGTTAGGAAAGTAATATCACAATTGTTGTATAAATAGTCTACACGGCTAAAAACGAATATTGATGAAAACAGGATTGAAGAATGTTTTGCTGCCCACATTGTTCACAGTTGTCAACAATATTGAACAATGTTGTTACACCCGATTCAGGCTCAACAATACTGTTCAATATTGTTGACAAGTGTGAACAACGTGGGCAGCAAAACATTGTTCAATCATGTTGAGCAGCGGGCTCGGCGTTTTTTTGCCGTGTAGTACAGTAGTTAATACAAGTAAGCGTAATACTTGATGTAATCGGTCACTGAAAAGCCCCGATGGGGAGTGAGCTTCATAGTCATAATCATGGTCAGTTGACAGCCTATTGACCTACATTTACAGACAAATGGGAAATTGATCGTTCTGAAATTCATCTTGGTAACGAAATTGGAAGTGGACAATTTGGGGTGAGTTGTGAAACTAAACAAAATGTAGTTACCAAAACAGCAATGAGATTGTGAAACGTCTCGTTGCAACAGAAGAGATACAGTACTGTACGTGACTCAAAATTGTGAGTAAAATTACTTCTTTTTTAGTAATGTTTCAAATTTGCTCATTGTTTTGAGTATAAAGTGTAAAGATTTATTTTATTCAAAAATATGAGTAAATTTGCTCAAAAATTTGACTGTGCGTTTTTTTGGAGTGAACTCATGCACAACCACTACTGCTGTGCTTGTAACTAATTGGTATTTCTGCAGTCATTTGTATGTGGTTTCCACTTGTGACGTTATTTTTGAAATTTGATTGGATGAACTGCTCATTAATTATTCATGAACGGTCTGTGCCAGTGCAAGGTAGTAGATTGATAGGGATACAACTACTGAACTACCTGAAAAATACAGAACTTCGGTACAAATATATACAGGGGCTTTGGTGACGCAGTCGTCAGAGTAAGCGCCTTTCACCTCTGAGATCGTGGGTGTGAAAAGAGTCAGTCAACGCTCTGCCGAAAGTCGTGGGTTTTCTCCAGACGCTGTATCAATCCGCAGCTTTCTCTATTATTATTATTCATAATTTCTCAGCAATAAATATAGAAGCAGTATTTGTTCAAGTCGTACTTGTTGTTGTTTCAGCGAGTGTTTCGTGGTGTATGGAAAGGCTCAATTGAAGTTGCAGTGAAGATGATGAAACCTGGGACAATGTCGGAGGAAGATTTCATTGAAGAAGCTAAAGTTATGAAGTAAGTGTTGACGAAATTGAAACTTTTAAAGTAATACTGCATATTAAAGTTTCATTCCCGTAAAAAAACGAAATAAAAATTAATGTCGCATTCTTTTCGACTGTCCTGTCTACCAAACTTGTACTGTTATCCTAGGAATAGACTTCGATTGTTGATTCCATTCATATACAGCCCTGGTATAGCGCAGAGATCTGTTCTGGTGTAGTTTGGAAATTTGGCCTTTTTCAAATACCCTTTTATGTCGCATCTCCCACTAAAAATTGCCGCCTCAAGGAGAGACTTTCGCGGATAGTGTACAGTATATTCTTTTCCATAACAAATCTTTTTTCTACTACAGACTTTTTCATCACCCAAATCTCGTGCAACTGTATGGAGTCTGCAGTAAGAAGCCAATTTATATTGTCACAGAGTTTGTTCCAAATGGTATGCTGATCAGAATAATGTCAGGGTTTTTTAAGGCTGTTTTTTCATAAAACAAGTAATGTTGTTTGAGTTAAATTTATGACGTGGAAAGCTTCTGAGCTAGACCTTCGCCCCTTGGACCCCCCGGGTCCCCAGACCTGCAACCCAATCTTCTCTGTGAAAACGCGAACCCAGCAAAAATCTTGAAAATGTCCCTGTCTATTTAATTCACAATGAAAAACATTACTGATGCATGTGTACTATTATATAATAACGTTAAGAATTCAGGCGCTTTCATTGGTCGAGAACCATGATCTGATAGAGGACAGACGCACGGAATTACGTCACACAAAACTTTATCTAATAGCATTCCCTTATTTGTATAGATCATGGACGCGTGATATTTGTAAAATTTCGACTTATTCAATTTTTATTATATACTGTAAAACAAATAGATAAGATTTTGCGTTGTTTGTTCAATTATTATAGATACACAGACCAACTTGCCTCGGCGGCAAAAATAAGACAACGGCAAAATCGTATATATTTGTTAAACAAACGAACGAACTTAATTCTGCACACTAAACAGATAAAGAAAATTTAAACACATTGTACGGTGCAGTCACCAATAAACAGCTGCGATGTGAAAGAGATGCAACTTCCTTAAAAATACAGTTTTAGCTGAACTTGGACGTTTCGAGTGAAAGGCCTTCAACAATACTTAGAACGACAACGAACATATAAACAAACAATTAACGACAGATTAAAAAATAAGTTTGTAGTTGTTAAAAAATATAACAACGGAAGTAGTAGCTGTATAAAAAACACTTTAATTTACATCTGTCTGAATAAAGGTAAAATTTTAGAAAATGATGAAAGTTGTTGTTTTCTTTAGGTTGTCTTCTAAACTATCTGCGTAAGAAACGTGAAATGGTGCTTCGTAAAATTTCCGTGACAGCAGAGATGGTTATCCACATCGCCTCTGCAATGGCTTATTTAGAAAGTAAAAATTTCATTCATAGAGACTTGGTAAGTTTTTTCAAGCTCCTCCTATTCAATAGAGTTCTTAATGTTTCTAGTTTCTTACACTAAGCAACTTGTCTCGCAATGTTAAGAAAAACGATTTCAGCATTGCATTGCAAGGGATGATACACCAAGCAATATGTTCCATGCAACTTGCAATCATCAATGATCATTGATCAGATTTTGCAATGATCATTGCAATGATCAGATTTTGTTGCAAGTTGCAGCAATTTTGTTGCTCGTATTACTCTAGCTTAAGCAACTAGATTTTACGTAATAGTTGTATGGCATGGTGGTTTTAATTTAATTTAATGTACTGTACGTTGTTGTTTGTTTGTAGGCCGCTAGAAATTGTCTAGTTGGTTTCAATAACATGGTTAAAGTTTGTGACTTTGGTCTCTCGAGGTACGTTGCTTATTACTTAATATATTTACATGTAAAACTTGCTCGAGTAATTCAGTACTCCAAAGTGTACAACCATGCATTATTTACTGTGCAAGTTTGTTGTGCAACAGAATCCTGTTGATCTGGTTTGGAATCTTCAGATTTGAATAATGCAAGTCATTAAAAATTTGCATAGCATGACCTGTTGCTATGTCTAGCTTTGCCACTGATGGGAAGTAAACCTAGCCAATAAAATGTCAATATCAAACAGTTTTGCTAAATAATTTTACATTTCATTGAAGGTTTGTTATCGATGATGAGTACACGGCGTCAGAAGGAACAAAATTTCCAATCAAATGGGCAGCTCCAGAAGTTATTATGTACAGTAAATTTAGCAGCAAGTCCGACATCTGGGCTTATGGTAAGCTCTAAATACAACACTATATTACAGTTGATTTCATATAACTTTTCCGTGAATGTTGCGAACTTCCTTCCGAACTTCGTTGTGAAGTTCAAAAGTTTATACTGAAATTCACAAGCCTGTTTGTAAACAAAGCCTCTGATTGGTCCCTTAACAAAAATAAGCCAATTAGAGGCTTTGTTTACAAACCGGCTTGTGAATTTCAGTATGAACTTTTGAACTTCACAACGAAGTTCGGAACGAAGTTCGGAACGAAGTTCGCAACATTCAGGGAAAAGTTATGTGAAATCAACTGTTGTAATTAATTTAAGATATGTGGGAGTGTAAGTGAGAATGTGTTATCATCCTTACACTGGGAGCTAAAGCTGAATTGCGAAAGACGCTGTTCAACCTGATCGAGTCGAAGGCTCGCCTCTGGCAGTCACATGACTCATGTCTGATCACGGAGCACAGCTATGATAGAAGGGTCAGTTAGGGTCAGTTAGGGTCAGTTGTAACCCACCCTGTCAACATTCCACTTGGGAGGAAACCAGATTACCCAGAGAAACCCACGACTTTCGTTAGAGCGTTGACTGACTCTTCACGTAATATTGTCTGACTTTTTGTGAAATAGCATTTAACCCCCCACACACACACACACACACACACACACACCCAACCCTCCCAACCCAAGAAGAGATTTGAGTTTTATTTTGAGGAGGTTATGATCAGTAACGCCAATTTGTTCCCATATCATGAAGGATGATAGACTCAGGGCTTCAGTGGCGCAATCATCAGAGAACAAGCACCTATCACTTCTCACTTCAGACTCAATGGCACTTACGATGCAAATGAAAGTACAAGCGAGCTAGCATATTGTAGCCTGTGTACAGCCGTAAATTCTCGCGTTAATTAATTAGTTTTAATATTATATAAATGACATCTTAACTCTTTCATTTCCGCACTCCCCATCTGAATATCCTTACCTTTTATTAAAATCATCAGCTACATACAATTAACTCGAATCCTTCTCACTAGATGATAAAGTTATAACTGCATGGCCCTAGAAGGTTATGGGTAAATATCAGGATTTGGGGCATTTCGATAGAACTAAGGGTTTTGTATACTGTAGATGGAAATTTCGAGTGTGAATTTTATACATTTATTAGACCTCACCAATGTAACTATAGGCTCTCTGGCAGGAATCAAACCTGCGGCCCTCGAGACCCTTCCACAATTAGTTATATCGAGTGTAGGTACCCAAAATCCTAAAATCTATTCATGCTTCATGTTTAGGTATTTTAATGTGGGAAGTGTTCAGCGCTGGAGCTTCTCCGTATCCTGCCATGGGGAACTCTCAAGTTGTTAATTATGTAAGTTCATCGTTGCCAATGGTTGGCGGTTTCGGTTGCAATTTCATGTTCTACGGACACTAAATATGCTAAGAAATCATTAAGTAGTGATGGCGATATTTTGAACTTGGGGCCGATATCCAATACGCTGATGTGGATGTCACTATCATTAACATTGACTGAAACCTGAACTTAAATCAAACCTGAACCCTAGCCATGACTGAACCTTATGTTTAAAGACTTCACCATGACCAAAATTTCTTTCATTTGCATATTTAGCGTCCATACATGGACATGAAATTATAACCGCGGTTTCGTTCAAATATTCGTTTTCACTTTTCATTGCTTGGCTTTTCCTAAGTCTATTATTTAAATGTCTGCTTTTCTACCTATAGGAAAGCCTTTCGTATTACTACTGAATAATATTGAATCAAAGATTGCATGACGTCATAACATACAATAAGTTAAAAATCACATTGTTTATATGACAATGTGGACCATATAGGGTATAAAGCAATTGGAAATCGCTTAAGTAAATGCCTTGTGTCCTGGGTGTCAAATCGCTATTTCTTATTTATCTGTGCAGATAATGTCAGGTGAACGATTAGGAAAGCCTGGAAATTGTCCTCCAGGTATCTATGATGTAATGGAATCATGTTGGTGCCAGGTAAGCAATGAGAAATACTTAGTTTGTGTTTCATGTGGATTTTATGTAATAAACACAGGGAAGCATATTTGATTTTCGTTGAAAACCAACAAATTTTGAAGTGTCTTACTGTCGATGCAATGGAAGTGTTGATAAAATATTGCATGAATTCATTTCCTCAAGTTGATCAATTCATACGAATTCAAATTTCTTTTTACTTCCTGTGTGTTCCCTATTGGGCAATCGGTTCTGAAACGAAATCTAATTGGCTCATTTAAAAGTAACAGGAAGTTGATCAATTTTCTATCAAATGAATTGATCAACTTGAGGAAAGGAATTGGTGCAATATTTTATCAACACTTCCATTGCATCGACAGTAAGACTTCAATGACACTTGTTTCCGAGAGTTTGATATCACATTTCAACCGAATCACATACGACATCGATTTTCTTTGTTTTCATTTACGAATTATTAATGAGTTTGAGATTTTTTTGGAAAAGTCCCATTATTTTGGTCTTTACTGGCTAAACTATCTACTGGTATGAGACAACTGTAGAAAATGAACGAAAGTAGTAATAACGGCTTGATTTACTTCCGGTCGGCGTTCAAATACGTCGCTTGCTTTTAAAAGCTCTCTATTTCGAAACCAAAGTTTGGGAAATTTATATGATGGTCGTGTGCGGTATTTAACTTATTTTGTTTGACTGTAGGATGCTGATCTTCGACCAACATTTGGGAAGATATTTAGAAAACTTAAAGCAATGTTAGGGGAAGACTACGCCGACACCTTCGAGTAGCACATATTTAAACATTAGATAGCACGATAAAAATATCACTGAAGTCTTCAATAATTATTTGTAAATAAATCTAATTACTTAGTGCTACAGTTGCCGAAATATTTTTATGATAGTGTCATGATAGTTCTTATTTTCACTGTATTTTTTAAGAAAGTGATGAACACTTGGTTAACTAACTTCTGAGGCGTCGTGGTTCGAAACATCAGGGCCTTTTTTAACTATATAACTGGGGGAGAGAGGGGGCAAAGCGCCAAAGCCCTCCCAGCCCCCATGGTGCCCCACCCCAGACGACCATTTTCCCAGTAGATATAATATCCCAGACCCTATAGATTTGAGTTGTTGGGGGGCTAGGTTAAACAAGTTAGTGACCGAGATGTGGTATTTACGTAAACATGCCGTGCAAGTACTTAACTGAAGTCTATCTGTAGTATAATGTGACGCTGTATATCCAAAAATCTGTTTCAGAAAACGCACGAAATGCAGCCGTAGGGTTGGAAAAAGACGAAAAATTTTCTCAGTTCTGGGCGAAAATGCCCCCAGTCCCCCTCCCTACTATTACATGCGAAACGACACCAAACTTTTTGTCACCAGAAACCATCTGTCATCTCTCCACACTCAGCATAGAACGGTCCCTCTCTGTAAATGAACCCCTCCCCACACACACTGATTATTAAAATATTAAATTATTAAAAAAGGCCCTGCGAAACATCCTGTTTTGCTCTATCTTTTCCCAGTGTAACATTTACTGCTAGTAGATTCCAACATCGTTCCCAGGGATATTTTTGGGTGCATGCGAAGGTGGAAGAGCTGGGAACGAGGTTGAGATGTTGTGAATAAGGAAGTCTAAACTTAATTATTTAGTGAGCTTTACATAATAACGAGCCTGCATTCTATGATAATCTTGAACTGTCTGTACCAGTGTAGGTAGTGGCAATAATAAGAAAGTTTCGGATTGATGCAACTACCTGAAAAATACAAGGAGAACTTTGACGTTTCGAACGAAGGCGCTTCGTCGGGAAATTGGTGGCTTCGAAGGACCTTCGCTCGAAACGTCGACGTTCTCCTTTTCAGGTCGTTGCATCCCTTTCAATCCGCAGCTTTTTCCATTCCAGTATTAGTTCTAACTGTGCATATTACGTAAACATTTAAGCGCGAGAATCTGAAGAATAAAAGAAACACCAACAAGCTTTTCCATTTGTAAATAATGGTGTATGTACTAGTTTTGTTACTTTTATTGGAATTAATAGAACATTGCAATTTCATCTGTTAGTTTTGAGGCATGCAAGGGTTATTTATAAAGATTACTTTGCAAACAAATTTACGTCATAATGAAAATCTTGCATATATATCGCATCACTATACAATAGTCAATATGTATAGGTTATTTTGAGGCAACGAGGGGACATGTGATGATTTATTCACCGAGGCGCGCAGCGCCGAGGTGAATAAACACATATCCCCGAGGTGCCTCAAAATAACGTACTTATTTTTCACATTGCGAGGTCGCGTTAATGAGTCAGAATAGAAATAATTCTTAATGCCATATTGTCTTCGTGATGTTGTTTTTTCGCATTTTTTGTGCTGCAAAGACATTGCAGGTGAATATTAGAGGGGATTATTAAACGGAAATTGATTAGAGGGGAATATTGAATATATTCCCCGATAAGAACAAAGGAAACCGAGCAGGGTGAAAAATAAGTCTATATATGTGTGGTGATGGTCGCAAGCTTAAGGCAGGCTGTTTAGACAATATATTCTAGTCTTTTAACCTGATGATGGAGTAAACTCCAAAACGTTTTTAATAAAAATATGTTAAGCCTTGTTCTTGATCATTAATGACAAAAAAGTCTATAATTTGTGTATTACAAATTATTACACCAATTATAATAGTTGACATTTTTTAACTCGACGTTACAAATGAATGCAGACAAATTGTTTATATTATAATAGTATTGTTATACCATTTTCAATGTCATTTTTCCTTTGTAATTCTGATTGCTGTGTTTTCGAAACTTCACGTAGTTTCAATGAAAAACTGCATGGCCCTGGCATCCCCGATTTATCCATCTGGCATCCCCGATTTATCCAGCTTTATAACAATGAACATACTTGCAGGAGGTGAGTCCGGGATTGGACGCACCGAGGGTGGCTGGAAGTTTCCCGAGCGAGGTGAGTTCGGGAAACTTCCAGCCACCCGAGGTGCGTCCAATCGCGCGCGGACTCACCTCCCTGCAAGTAGTTTGGTTTTTATCCCATACACCGAGCCATACAGTTATCGAGAAGCTACAGCTGCAACTCAATAAATCCAGTTTCAAGATCAAAACAAACCAGCACGCCTTTACGAGCGGTCACTCCACCGTGTCTGCCCTTACCTCCATATCTCAGAACTGGTTCGACTCAACGGACAACTCCTCAGCCGGTAGACAAGGTGTCCACGCCCTATTTGTTGATTTCCGGAAGGCGTTTGACTTGGTCGACCATAAGATCCTTCTGGACAAGCTTGCTGATATGAATGTAACAAGGAGTTTCTGGTTATGGATAATGAGTTTTCTGGAGGGAAGAACACAACAGGTAAATCTCCAAGGTGTACTATCCTTTACTGCATCATGCCCAGCCGGCGTCCCTCAGGGATCTGCTATCTCGCCGACCCTATTCAACATACATATTAACGATATGGAGGAAAATGTTTCTGAACAGGCATGTGTCAACACAATCAAATATGCGGACGATTGCACCATGGATACGTCCATAAGATTAGGAGAATCTAGCGATTTGCAAAGCGCTCTGGACTCAGTACAAAGTTGGGCTGTGGAAAATAAAATGGAACTGAATGCCAAAAAGACAAAAGATATGTGGATTAACTTCACCGAAGCACCGCCCCCTCTACCACTGCATATAGGAGATGCTATCATAGAAAGAGTCGATAATTTTAAACTCTTGGGAACCTGGTTTCAAAAGGACCTGAAATGGAATAAACATGTCGAGGAGACCACCCGCAAAGCAGCTAAAAACCTGTACTGCCTACGAGAATGTAGAAGAGCGAATCTACCAGTCGAAGTGGGTCTCACCACTTATTTAACTAAAATCAGGCCTATCCTTGAATATTGTTCTCCAGTGTGGGGTGGTCTGCCACGATATCTAAAGGACGAATTGGAACGTGTGCAAAGGAGGAGTCTACGAATTATTGGCCTCCCGCATGATTACCTGCCAACTCTCGAAGAGAGAAGAATTGAAGCCACATCGAGGGAACTCGTTAACATCTTAGGTGATCCAAGTCATATCTTTTATCAACGAACTATGGAACATAAGAAACATAACTATAATCTTAGGCGTAGAGACGGTATATTTAAATACGCACCTTTCTCAGGCACTGAACGACACAGAAATAGTTTTGTCCCACGAGCAATGAGACAGGGGTTGCACTAAAACCAAACTTGGTTTTTATTAACTTTTTAAATAATTTCCTAGACTTTTAAATTTTTTACTCCAAATTGTATATATATATATAAATTTTAGATAGTTTGTAAATATTATTGCATGCTTAGTTATGCTCTTCTCTTTTAATAGACATATTTGTAAATCTATTGTATTTTTAAACTGAAGATGGATCAATAAAATCATCATCATCATCATCATCATACACATATTTGTAGCTCTTCGCGATATATTCGTCGATGTTTTGTCAACATTTTCTCGGCCAAAAAAACCACTGGGCTCTAAATATTTCCTTATCTACGTCTAGATTACCTTTATTGCATTTTTTTCTTTGGTTTTTCTTCAGTCTCAGTATGTTAGTCGCCGAAAAAAGTTCTTTAAAGTTTAGGTTTAGCGGCTAAATCTTGTCCGTTATTGTTATTGCAACGTGAGCAGTTTCGCGGTTGAGTTCGGCGAAAAGCAGGTGAGCTCGACGAGAAGCTCATGCACCTGCTCTAAACCAATCAGAAAGCCGCCGCTTTTAACACAGGCCCCGTTTACACTATACCGGATTACTTTTCATACCGGATTGATTTTTACTCCGAAGTAAAAAATCAAGGGTGTTTACAGTCTTTACACTATGCCGCTTCGCTCTGTTGCCAGCTCATGTCTTTCACTGTCGCCATGGAAAGTCAAACAAGTAGCCAATAGACCAAAATTTATTAAAAACAAGAAATAACACCCGTTTTCTTTAATTGTAAAGTATAACTTTGTTTAAAAAGCTTGACCACCAGACGTTGCTTCGTTTCGCTCTAATCCAAAATTTCAGAGTATTTCTTTAAATTTTGCTCTTTCGAAAGCGAAAAGTCAATGTTATTATCGTTTTCTTTACTTGTATTCGGCAGAAATAGTAAATGGTTGCAAGGCGAGACAAACAACATCTATAAAGTATTGTAAAAGCGAGCAAATAAGGGCGACAATGTTAAAACATACACGCCAAAACCGATTTTGTACCGAAGCGTACCGGATTAGCCTGTTTACACTGCTCCGGCACATACCGGATTACTTTTCATATCACCTCCAAAGCGGAGTGATTTTTGCTCCGCGTCACGTACCAGATTACTGTGGCGTAGTGTAAACAGCAGCCGAATCCGGTATGAAAATCGCTACGCTCCGATGCAATCCGGTATAGTGTAAACGGGGCCACAGGTATGAGGGCCCCCTATACTTTTTGCGTGAAGCGTGAAGGGCTTATTTTACTTAGCCGTGAAACGTGATCGATGATTTTCTTAATCCGTGACTCGTGATAAGGCAAAATATTTTTACGTGAAAGCATATTGTGAAGAGGTATAGGGGGCCCTCAGGTATGGGATTAAAGGGTTATTGACAGAGCGTGAGGTCTGTACTGTGAAATATCAGACCGAGGTTTTTTAGTATGGACCGAGCGACGAAGGAGCGAGGTCCATGTCAAAAGCAGAGGTCTGATCGATATTTCACAGTACAGACCGAACAAGCGAGGTCAATAATCGGTTTATTATATGGCTGAACTGAGTCTGTGAGCATATGCTTTTCGCGCGAATTAAATCGGCTATCGTCAGTTTCACTGGGTAACAATATACGGTAGGCATGCATGCTCAATCAAACACAATTTGGTTGTTTGAAATTTTTATCTGTAAAGCACAATTGGAAATTTAAAAAGCAACACTTTTTTCTGTTTGCAAAGCAAAAATTTCCCGCCAGATAAACGACATCCAGGAGACCGGTCCAGATACGGAAAATAAGGGCCACGGTCAGGATATGTGTTTTCACGGACCGCTTGTCAACCAATCAGAATAGAGAATTTTGAAAAGCCATATAATAAAATAGTATATGTGTTCGATCGAAATTATACTATCTTCATACTAGAAATTTGTTCAAAACTTTCAATATGTTTCAGAGGCGCAGAGAAGTCACCCTACTGCACCGGCAATGTGATGTTAAATTGCCTAAGTCATGAGCTGATTGGTGTTAATGGAGGTGGGGGGAAACCTCGTTTCCAGGGCAAGGCTTTCAGAATTATTCTGAGTAGGGGGCTGTGTTGATAAAGTAGGCGCCTGTGAGCGGTCTACTGAGAGTCTTAAAATCATCTAAATTAATTAACTAGTGTGTATTGATTACATCATAGATAGCAATATAACTGAGCTTTGTGACCAAATTTTAATATATCATATTTTCAAGACTTTTAAGTCTAATATTAGTCGTAATATATTATATTATATATTCTTTTAAGTCTAATATTAGTCGTAATATTTTGTAAAACTGATTTAGTTTTTTGCCATCTTAAAAGATGACAAAAAACTAAATCAGTTTTACAAAATATTACGTCGTTGGGGGGGGGGCCTTGCTATCCTGGCATTCTCCCAGAGATGAGATGGTCTCTTATGGTCTCTTTCAACATGGTCTCTTTCAACATGGTCTCTTATTTTCTATGATGTATATCACCATACAGCTGTTCTTATTAAGGTTGCATCCAATTAACTGTTGCAGGGTAATGGTCTTGTCCGCCTCAGGTTACGATTCAAGGATGGCTGTATAATGATATACGTCATAGTAAACAAAAGACTGTGCTGGGTTTTTCTATGTAAATGATTTGAAACTTGAAATACGCATAAGAATATAATGTAGTGTGTTGAAATATCGTTTCTTTTCATAACTGATTTAATTATCTAGTCTATGCATATGTATTTACAGTTCTCCCCTAAATCTAAATTAACCCCTTCCTATTATAACATTAAGTTTACAACACCAAGGCTTCATACAGATTTCCTTGGACGTAGCGAATTATTAAACTATAGTCCAAACTTAAAACCTCTCTTAGCTTTTGATAGCAAGTTCTTAGCAGTCGTTCCTACACTAATTATTCAGTTTCTTAACAAGTCCAACTAGCTGCAGTATTTCCTAATCATTGAGTTTTACCGTTTTTCACCAGCTTCCACAGCTTTTATTCTTCTTTGAATATCCACGACGTTCTCCAAGACTTTTAAAGCTTCATTAATGGTATCTTTATGTTTGGCCTATAGAAACATGCGTCGTGGTTGGTTAATTAGATAGCTTAAGATCTACGACGTCAGCTTGGACGCCAGGGCTCAGTAGAGGACTGGGACGTCGTCCTCAATAAATAAATATCGGTAATCGTTCCATGTTTCGCGCACCAACATAGTAAACGTCATGTAATGGATACTATAGTACACTGCAAAGACAACTCGATAACCCATATATATATATATATATATATATATATATAACTTGCTTGGTTGTTGAAGCCAAAACGAGTACAGTGCTCGATGCGGGAAATTCGCAGAGCTTAATATGTTGTTCAAAATGAAAAAAATAAAAATAAAAAATTTAAAAAAATTTAATGTGCTGCTACTTAAGTTTCACGTATTACCGATCGTCAGCTGTCTGACGATCGGTAATACGTGAAACTTAAGTAGCAGCACATTAAATCTTTTAAAATTTTTTATTTTTAATTTTTTTCATTTTGAACAACATATATATATATATATATATATATATATATATATATATATATATATATATATATATATATATATACATATACATATACATATATATATATATATACATTTATCACATACTTGTACCTTTATCAGGTAGGAAGCAGCGGGACATAAAAACGATATCGTCCCGGATATCGTTTTTTGTCCCGGATAAAAACGATATCGTCCCGGATATCGTTTTTTGTCCCGGATATCGTTTTTTGTCCCGCTAAATTTCGCGCCTTGTCAAAACAAAGATGGCCGACTCGAGGTTCGTGTTGGTTGATGTCGACAGTTTATCGAAGAAAACAAGAACGATTATACAAAACGAAAGACTTAAATTGTATATTATTTATATGAATGGTCTATTTATTTTCTAAAATCATATTTGTTCAGTAAATGATGAATTGTTTTGAATTCTAAAATGATCCTATTTTTTCAAAACTGTTTACTTTTGGGTGTCAAACCCTGATAAAGGTACAAGTATATAATAAATAGGTTATCGTACTCGGGATTCGGTGATATCAGTTTTATAGCTCTTGGGACGATATCACAATTGTGCCTCGCTCGCTGCGCTCGCTCGTGACAATTGTGATATCATCCCTCGAGCGATAAAACTGATATCACCTCATCCCTTATATGATAACCTATATATATATATATATACCCTAACCTAACCCCTAACCTATATTGGTGCGCGAACTCCATGGAACGATAACCTAAATATCCACTTGAGATTCATGACGTCGACTTTTAAACTATAAATATTCACATCGTTTCGAAAATGAATTTTAAAGAGACGTGTGAATTCATTGCCGTTTGTTATGCGATTGTATCCACGACGGCAAAACTCTTGTTGTGAAGTTGTCGACTCGACGTTTGGTGAACGGCGAGCAATTGAGAGAGACGCATGCGCGCTTCAAAAATATTGCCAATTTACTTCCGCTTGCCGTCCTATATAGATATTTGACGTTGTAGATCTTTAGCTATTAGAGACCTTAAGATCTAGGACGGCAACGTGATGACGACGGGTAGTAATACAATGAAATTAATAAATATTTAAGAAAAGAAATAAATAATTAAAATCCCGCATGAGAGATTTAGATGTCGTGTAAACCAGAGTTTTTATGTCTTGTGTAGAACGTTTGCATTTTAGTTACGTAAGAAGTGGATACTCAGCAAATTGGTTGAGTACTAATGAGTAATGTGGAATTCATAGAAAGCATCTGTTTTCATCTCTTCAAGCTGTGTTCAATTCATACGATAATACACGGTAAGCTTTCTTGATGCCGGCTTCAGTTCCACTTGCGAATTTTTTCGCTCGAAGCGAATTTTTCATTTGTCTTTGGTCTCTCAACTGGAACCATCTGGAACCAATTGGATAAAGACAAAAAATTTGCAAGTGAAAAACCGGCTTTACAATAATTTATTTGAATGAATTTGTTTTGGCCGTTGTCGTCGCTTTGCCGACCAACATATTAAGGTCTCCTCTATCTACTTATTTTGGCACGGCGTCATAGTTCCAGTCCTCTGCTCATCCTTGACGTCCTAGCTGACGTTGACGTCGTAGATGTTAAGTTACAATAAAACTAGACTAAGAAACATTGGAAATATATTTGATGATCAACTTTCGTATTAGGTTGGTACTTACCCCATCTTTAGAGTCAGCTGATTTCTCTTCTGTCACGTTATTGAAACGATCTGCCATTCTTGTTATAGCCCAGGTCAACACTTGAGGATCGGTTTTTGTTATATCAATCACTCGTTTCATCAAAAGACAACCAGTCACTCCTTCTATTTCGTTTATTACAGATTTTGACACAAAGTTCCATCGGTAATAGTACGTATCACAACGAAGTAGAGCATTGTCACTCCAGACAATAAACATATCAGTTGAATCGTACTCTCCCACGCTGTCATTACCAAGAACGGATTCTGCACCCAACCCAACAATAGACTCAAGCCCTCCGATAAAGTCACCGGAAAATAATTGATGGATTACTTTTTTCAAGTCATCGCTTTCCTTTTTTTCTGTTTTTATAAACACCATTTTGTGTAAAGACACAATGGTACCAGTATCAATTTCTTGGTCATTTTTCTCACCGTTCAAGATGGCGATCTTCTCAATCTCAAGTCTTTGCTCGATCATTTTTTCTAGGATCTGAAGACGTTCTTCAAACTCTCGTTTCTGTCCTTCTTGTGGACTTGTGACTTCTTTACGAAGTTTGGTAATGGACTGTCCCATTGTGAAATTTATGTCGGTGTTTTAGCCACTGCAGCGAACTGCAAATTAAGTAGTTTTGAAGGGTATTGTACAGAGACGAGGAACTACTGTTGTTTTATACCCACGGATTGAAGGTTGATAAGTCGGCACACGTCAAAGCACCACCTGCGTGAGTACTTAAGCGTCTCTAACCGGTCTGCATAAAATTTAGGCGTTATCTTTAAAGTCTTTAAACATTTTGAAACATTTTCCAAACATTTAAGCTATGACGGCCTCTTATTTATCTCACAAGCAAGGTAATTAGTTGCTCTTTTTGGGGAACTTCTTCTATAATGCATAATTCACAATATTAATTATTGCTGTAGAATTGACAATAAAATTTATTAAACATAAGCAGCTAACTTCACCTGCAAGATTGCAGGTGCTCTTACGTTATACTATCTGTATGCTTTCAAAGGAAGGAAGTTATGGATATCAAGTAACTTATCTACTAAAAAAGTTTTGAAAGTCGACTCAGTAATATGTATCATTATTACTAAATGAAAATGTTCAATAAATAAAAAGTGTGGCTCACCAAAGTTTTTACAATTCAATTATACAGTATAGGCGACAAAATTGTGGACTGTTCAATGTTGTGATACTATTTTTTATAATAGATGATATTGGGTTCTCGATAAGGGGAACAGTGGCGGAAATTCACTTTTTCCGGTGTGGGGGGGGGGGCGAAGCCTTCTGAATTTACGACAAAACTTTCAAATCCCCCCCCCCCATTTGCACTAGAAAAGGCTGTTTTTAGCTCTCTTATAGGTCAAAATTTCCGAAAATTCGTCATTTTCCATGAAGGTGTGGCGGCCGCCAAGATTTCCGCCACTGAAGGGAAATGGGATAAAAATGTACTTTTCGACCTAAATATCCCACCTATCATGCATGACTAGGCCAAAAAAAAAATATGTGGGTTTCCGGTTTCTTCTTATAAAAACTTAGGTAGGGTAGGTCGGTTTTAACTTTTTTTTTTAAACTTTTTTTTTAATTTTCCGAACAACCGGACGCCATTTTGTTTAGTAGGTGCTTCCACATCCAAAGATAAATTTCCCTAATATTGCCTCAAATTTCAATTTTCCACAAACTTTTTCCTCTAAGTGGAAACACTTACAAGCGTGATCCAATAAAAAAGTTTAGGGTCGGGATTTCGACGTCCAAAAGCTAGGTAGGGTCGGGAAACCGGAAACCCACATATTTTTTTTTTGGCCCTATTTGGAAACAATAACTGTTAAGTTGAATAATTTAGACCTAAGTTTTGTTTGTTTACTTTTTAATATACATTCATGTCAATGGAAATGTCCCTAAAACATTCTAGTATAGTAATATTCTACCAATTCATTTGGTCACATGGACGAACCAATTCACTTGAGACGTTCGACATTACGCAACGTCGTGTATTTGATAATTTTTGGTCACTTCCTATATCTCTGTATGATTGGTCAAATGAATTTGTTCGTGCGAGCAAATGAATTGGTAGAATTTTAGGAACACTTCCATTACCACGAGTGTAAGACGTGGGAAATATGTCATTATTTACGTCATAAACTGCTTTCCTACCCTATTAATTCATCAGTTGTACGTCCATAAACTATAGCCAGGCATAATTATTGGCTTCTAATTAGGCATATGATACAAAGTTTCGCAATAATATATACATTATTTTAATATTAAGGGAAATGTTCTACCAATAGTCTCAGATCTGTAATTCGTTCAATTTTACTTGTTATGTTATTCGATAATTTCTCATGTGTGATTGAGCGTGTTGTCTATTAAAGGTTCGCAGAAAATATGCAATAGAAAAGATACTAACTACACAGAATTACTAGTTGTTGACCAGCAAATAGTATCCTACTTGACTAATTAATAACTTGAGTACCTAACTTGCAGAATAGCTGTAGTGTAGAGGTTGAAATTTACTTATACATATCGCGGTTAAAAAGTGGGATATTTAGATCGAAATGTTCCCCTTTTGCAGGATAACTCTATGGAGAAGCCAACATCATCTAAGATAAAATATTGAACAGGGATAATTAGGATTAAACTGTGGTTTCAACATAATCAGTTCACGAATTTATCAGTGATTTTAACTCATTAAACTGCAAATTCAACTTGTCTGTTGAACGCTTTCATTTAGAAGATTGAACTTTCAGCATAAACTGAGCAAGGTTTGCACGGTTATTGGAATTTAAAAGCATTTTTCTTCTTGAAGCAAGTTTGACTTATTGTACACCAGAAAGCTGCGGATTGAGAGGCATTCAACTACCAGAAAGATACAAGTAAAATTTGGAAGTTTTGAGCGAAGACCCTTCGTCGAAATGTCGATGTTTCACTTGTGTTTTTCAGGTAGTTGAATTACTTTCAATCTGCAGCATTCTAGCGTTATCATCACTACCTACACTGGCACAGACCGTTAAAATCCTTTCTGCTATACATTTTCACAAAGTGAACTGTAATGGTTGGGTGTGGGAGTCAACATAAGAATTGTGGGACTTGTTCGCCTACTAAGTTATAGCTAAAGGGGCTCTGACTCAGTCTGAACCCCTTTAACTATAACTTAGTAGGCGATCACTCAGTCTTTCTTCATTACCTGTATATTTATTGTTGCAAAGCTCCGGTTGCGTCATAACGTGGGTCGTCTTCCACTAGCAGCGTACATTATGACGTAGTTTAATGTCACGTTTCATGCATTATCGATGGAAACTGACCACTTGGTCTCTTACATCCAACGTTATTTTCCCCTTTAATTGCATTACCGTTTCAGGCGAATCCACTTTGTAATTTAACTGGAAAACTGTCGGTGACCCACACTTTATATTTATTGAATGTTTTCATTCATTGAAACTTGTGAATTTTATTCATTATTAACTTACTTAATTTGAAAGCATGCAGAGTATCTGCAATCTCACAGGTGAAATGTCACGACATTCTTCAAGACTTTTAACGCTTCATTAATGACATCTTCAGAGTCACCTGGTTTCTCTTC